TTTTTTCTCTAATTTCCGTGTCTCACCTGTGCACAGGTAGCTGGGGCCCTCACCTGATCATCGTGCCCACCTCGGTGATGCTGAACTGGGAGATGGAGCTCAAGCGTTGGTGCCCCGGGTTCAAAATCCTCACCTACTACGGGGCCCAGAAAGAGCGGCGGCTCAAGAGACAGGTGAGAGACACCTGGGGACAGGTGACACACCTGGACACACCCAAAATACACCTGGGATACACCTGAAACCCCTTTAAACACACCTGGGGACAGGTGAGACACACCTGGGGGCACGCCCAAAATACACCTGGGGACAGGTGAGACACACCCAAAATACACCTGGGGACAGGTGAGACACACCTGGACACACCCAAAATACACCTGGGATACACCTGAAACCCCTTTAAACACACCTGGGGACAGGAGAGACACACCTGGGGACAGGAGAGACACACCTGGGCACAGGTGAGACACACCTGGGACAGGTGAGACACACCCAAAATACACCTGGGGACAGGTGAGACACACCTGGGGACAGGTGAGATACACCTGGGACAGGTGAGACACACCCAAAATACACCTGGGGACAGGTGAGACACACCTGGATATATGTGAGACACACCTGGGGACACCTGGGGACAGGTGAGACACACCGGGGACAGGTGAGACACACCCAAAATACACCTGGGGACAGGTGAGACACACCTGGGGGCACCTGGGGAGAGGTGAGACACACCTGGGGACACACCCAAAATACACCTGGGGACACCTGGGGACACCTGGGGACACCTGGGGACAGGTGAGACACACCTGGGACAGGTGAGACACACCCAAAATACACCTGGGGACACACCTGGGGACAGGTGAGACACACCTGGGGGCACCTGGGGAGAGGTGAGACACACCCAAAATACACCTGGGGACAGGTGAGACACACCTGGGGACACACCGAAAATACACCTGGGGACAGGTGAGACACACCCAAAATACACCTGGGAACACCTGGGGACAGGTGAGACACACCCAAAATACACCTGGGAACACCTGGGGACAGGTGAGACACACCTGGGGATACCTGGGGACAGTTGGAACCCCTTTAAATACACCTGGGGACACCTGGGGACAGGTGAGATATACCCAAAATACACCTGGGGACAGGTGAGACACACCTGGGGACACCTGGGACACACCTGAGAGACACCTGGGGGACACCTGGGATACACCTGGGGACAGTTGAGGACACCTGGGGACACCTGGATCCCCTTTAAATACACCTGGGGACAGGTGAGACACACCTGGGGACACCTGGGATACACCTGGATATATCTGAGATACACCTGGGAGCACCTGAGATACACCTGGAACCCATTTAAATACACCTGGGCACACCTGGGATACACCTGAGACACACCTGGATATATCTGAGATGCACCTGGGCGCACCTGAGTGCACCTGAGATACACTTAGGCACACCTGGATTTGTATCTGAGATACACCTGGGCGCACCTGGGCCCATTTTAATGGGTTTTTTTTGCCATTTTAACGGGGTTTTTTGATATTTTAATGGGATTTTTGGCTCACCTGTCTCACCTGTCTGATCTCACCTGTCAGGGCTGGACCAAGCCCAACGCGTTCCACGTGTGCCTCACCTGGGGCAGGGACGCACCTGGACACACCTGGGCTCATTTTAATTGGACTTTTTTTCATTTTAATAGGGCTTTTTACCATTTCAATGGGGTTTTTTGCCATTTTAATGGGTGTTTTTGTCATTTTAATGGGGTTTTTTGCCATTTTAATGTTTTTTTTTTTACCATTTTAATGGGGGTTTTTTGCCATTTTATTGGGGTGTTTGACATTTTAGTGGAATTTTTTCCATTTTAATTGGTTTTTTTTCCATTTTAACCGTTTTTTTTGCCATTTTAATGGGTCTTTTGCCATTTTAATGGGATTTTTGCTATTTGAATGGTTTTTTTTGGTGTTCTAATGGGCTTTTTCTCCATTTCAATGGGTTTTTTTCCCTTTTAATGTGTGATTTTGCCATTTTAACGGGTTTTTTTGCCCTTTTAATGGGATTTTTGCCATTTTAATGGGATTTTTGCCATTTAAATAATTTTTTTTTGCGTTTCTGACCTCACCTGTCTCACCTGTGCAGGGCTGGACCAAGCCCAACGCGTTCCACGTCTGCATCACCTCGTACAAGCTGGTGCTGCAGGACCACCAGGCCTTCCGGCGCAAGAACTGGAAATACCTGATCCTGGACGAGGCGCAGAACATCAAAAACTTCAAATCGCNGATTTGGGCCATTTTTGGGCCGTTTTGAGCCATTTTTGAGCCATTTTTTGCGGAAGTTTCCCCTCACCTGTCTCACCTGTTCTCACCTGGGATGGATTTTGGGTCCATTCAGCCCAATTTTGGGTGGATTTGAGCCATTTTTGGGCGGTTTTGAGCCATTTTCGAGCTATTTTTCGCAGGAATTTCCCCTCACCTGTGTCACTTGTCTCACCTGTCTCACCTGTCTCACTTGTCCTCACCTGGGATGGATTTTGTGTCAATTCAACACAATTTTGGATGGTTTTGGTGCATTTCAGAGTTTTTTTGAGCCATTTTTGAGCCATTTTTGATCCATTTTTTGCAGAAATTTCCTCTCACCTGTCTCATCTGTCTCACCTGGGATGGATTTTGGGTCCATTCAGCCCAATTTTGGATGGATTTGAGGTCAATTTGGACCATTTTAGGGCAGTTTTGGGCCATTTTTTAGTAATTTTGAGCCATTTTTTGCAGGAATTTCCCCTCACCTGTTCTGACCTGTCTCACCTGTTCTCACCTGTCTCACCTGGGATGGATTTTGGGTCAATCTGAGCCATTTTTGGGTCGTTTTCAGCCATTTTTCACAGGAATTTCCCCTCACCAGTCTCACCTGTCAGGTTCGCCCATCTCACCTGTGTCACCTGGGATGGATTTTGGGTCCATTCAGCCCAATTTTGGATGGATTTGAGCCATTTTTGGGTGGTTTTGAGCCATTTCTGCCCCATTTTTTCCGGAAATTTCCCCTCACCTGTCTTACCTGTCTCACCTGGGATGGATTTTGGTTCAATTCAGCCCAATTTTGGGTGGATTTGGGCCATTTTTGGGTCATTTTGGGCCATTTTTGAGCCATTTTGAGCCATTTTTGGGTCATTTTTAACCATTTTTGGGCCATTTCTCACAGGAATTTCCCCTCACCGGTTCTCACCTGGGATGGATTTTGGGTCCATTCAGCCCAATTTTGGGTCAATTTGAGCCATTTTTGGTCCATTTCTCATGGAAATTTCCCCTCACCTGTGTCACCTGTCTCACCTGGAGTTGATTCAGCCCAATTTTGGGTGGATTTGAGGTCAATTTGGACCATTTTAGGGCAGTTTTGGGCCATTTTTGAGTAATTTTGAGCCATTTTTCACAGGAATTTCCCCCTCACCTGTGTCACCTGTCCCATCTCACCTGTCTCACCTGGGATGGATTTTGGGTCCATTCAGCCCAATTTTGGATGGATTTGGGGTCAATCTGAGCCATTTTTGGTTGGTTTTGAGCCAATTTTGGGTGGATTTGGGCCTTTTTTGGGTGGATTTGAGCCATTTTTCACAGGAATTTCCCCTCACTTGTCTCACCTGTTCTCCCCTGTCTCACCTGGGATGGATTTTGGTTCAATTCAGCCCAATTTTGGGTGAATTTGTGCCATTTTTGGGTGGTTTTGAGCCATTTTGGAGCCATTTCTTTCAGAAATTTCCCGTCACCTGTCTCACCTGTCTCACCTGTGTCACCTTTGCTCACCTGGGATGGATTTTAGGTCCATTCAGCCCAATTTGGGGTGGACTTGAGCCATTTTTGAGCCATTATGAGCCATTTTGGAGCCATTTTTCACAGGAATTTCCCCTCACCTGTTCTTATCTGTCTCACCTGTGTCACCTGGGATGGATTTTGGGTTCATTCAGCCCAATTTTGGATGGATTTTGGGTCAATCTGAGCTATTTCTGGATGGGTTTGAGCCAATTTTGCGTGGTTTTGAGCTGATTTTGGATGGTTTTGAGCCATTTCTGCCCCATTTTTTGCAGAAATTTCCCTCACCTGTCCCACCTGTCTCACCTGTTTTCACCTGTCTCACCTGTTCTCACCTGGGATGGATTTTGGTTCAATTCAGCCCAATTTTGGATGGATTTGGGCCATTTTTGGGTGGTTTTGAGCCTTTTTTGGGCCATTTCTCACAGGAATTTCTGCTCACCTGTCTCCCCTGTCTCACCTGGGATGGACTTTGGGTGAATTCAACACAATTTTGGGTGGA